GGTGTAGAGGTAGGGGCAAGGGCCAGGCAATGTGGACATCAGTATGTCAGCTCCTGATAGATTTGAAAAATGAGCATAGTTTTTCCTAATCCCAGCCTTCGCTGTAATTAAGACACTTGTCTCATAGGTGAGCTGCTCTTAAGGGGAGTTTTGGGGGGCTAAAAAAATCCAGATAGCACAGATTTGGCACAGTCACCTGCCTGAAAAGTATGTGCTGACTTGGAAGGTCTTGGTTGGTGGGATGTGTTAGTGGCACTTCTAGACCGTGTGCCCTCTTATGGTCTGCACAAGTGTAATCACAGTCACCTACTTGGCATGTAATCCTCATTAGTTCTGTTCTGATGTTCATTTACAATGGTGACATACATGGGATCATCCTCAGATGAGAGATGTGGAAGAAAGCAGGTGCCATAATACACAGTGAACTCGAGAAGGCATGAAATTTAGCTACCTCTAAGTGTCCCACTTGAACCGAGGGCTCTAGCAGCAGTGGATTTTGTAGGAAACTGCCCCTATAAGAATGGGGAAGAAAAACAAAGAAGGCTCAGGGGGAAAAAAAAAGAGCTTCTGTGTCATTTCACAGTTCCTATGTGGTGTGTTCTTGGGGAACGAAAGACGAAGTTCCAATGCAGAGCATCCTTTAGGAGAGTGGGGGAGGTGACTCATATTTTGAGGCTGCCTAGGGCCTTGGTACAGTGATTTACTATCTGCCCCCCTTAAGGTGGAAACCGCAGAAGTCATCTGAACACATCTGTGTTTATGCTGTTTTCTTTTAGTAAGAGGACATCTAACTGAGCCTGTGGGAACAACTACACTAGGGCTGGGGCAGAGAGGGGAGGATTGGGGCAGAGAGGGGAGGATTCGAGCAGAGAGGATGCTTGGAAGGGTTTGTCCTATGTGCACAGTCTCTCCATATTCCCCAGGACTTCCATAACCCTGGCTCCAAGCTGCTCAAAAGTCGTGCCCTGGGAAGACTGTTCCATATTAAAGCCGATGGGCTCTGGTAGGGAATGCTTGTTGAGATAAATGCTTACAGCACTCCAGCATCATGTGCATGGCAGGCATGGATGAAGGATTGTTAAAGGAAGAACAGACCCATCAAACCCTAGAAATTTGGGTTGTCTCACTAGCCTGCTTCCCACCTGCTTTTTGGCACCCAGATTTCCTGCCTTTTCAGGGAGTCACTTTGTTTTGTGCCATGGCTCCCCTGTGCAAGTCTCCTCTCCACTGTTAACAAAAGGCCACATCATCCAGTAATTCACAGGGCATTGAGAGACTGGTGGTTAGTGGGAGGGAAAAGCTTTGTCCTTTACCTGCTCCCCTAAAGAGTCAAGAGAAAGGAAAACTGTATTTTAATATGAATGAGGGTCTAATTTTTGTTATTCTTTCTTGATTCCTTTCCTTCCACAATCTGGCATCTTGGGTCCAGACTGTGAGCTGCGACCATGCTACAGGGGACAGGCTGTCCAGAGCCAAGGGCTGTGAGAGTACTGAGGTTTGCAGGGCAGGAGTGTTTTCATACACTTAACCTGAGGAATGTTCAATTAGAAAAAAAGTGAAATTATAAAATTAAAGGTGCCTGCTTGGGAGAAAAGCTCAGACAAGCTCAACAAAACACAAGGTGGGGATTTCTGTCTACCTTCCCCAACCACACACATCCCTGTCAGAGGATGATGGCTCTCAGGAAAACCTTGGAGGGACAGCAGGCCCTGGTTCCCTGTTCACTAATATCAACCCAGCACCCTGCCATCTCGCTGAGCCCCATGAACGTGAGCAGAATGATACAGCGACACACAGTGACACTTCACAGTATTTACCAAAACACAGATAACCCACATTAGAGCTAGCTGGAGGAGGACAGAAGAGTACCTAATGTATGTAAAATTTGAGACAATTTCTACTGCTATAACATTATCTTGTTCACGGAAATGAATTTAGGAATGCACTGAGGTAGGAACCCATAGCATTTCTGACCCAGTGATGTGAACTTCAGAGCTGGATTTACAGTATCATCCAGCTGCTGCCTCCCCAGCTCCAGCCTATGTAAAATGGTGTATTTGCATCACTTCAGAGCAAGGTTGAGCTCCAGTTCTCCGAAGGAATTCCCTTACTGAGAATAATGGGAGATCCTTGTAGGGGAAACTTGCTGGATGAAAACATCTTCATGCACAGTCCTATCTCACCTTGCTTAGGCGAAGAGGCCAAGGCTGCTTTTGGACTTGAACTTCTATCTTTGCTGCTGAAGCACTATAGAAAGGGTTTGTTAGGGTATGCCACAGCCCAGTGAGTGGCTGCATTCACTTCCAGATACTTAATGAGCAAACTTACGGGGAGAGGGAAACACAACCTTAGGTCAAAAACAAAATCGTTTCTGCTATTTGGTCCTGTTGGGAAGAACAGGATTAGACTAGATCTGACCTCTGTTGCTGTTCCAGCTGAAAACAGCTCGAAAATAAACATGAGTGGATACTTGCGTTTGCTCTGTGAATCATTCCCAACAGATATTTTTTAAAAGAACAGCATGGACTTTAATGGGCAGTATAGCCAATCTGAAGGCTAATGGTGCCACAAGCAGATGTTCCAGACCTGATCACCCTGGAGAGCTTCTCAAACATCCATATCATGTTTCCCATAGCATTCTTTGTGTCTGTATAACTTCTGGATTTACCTTCACAGTATGTTTTTATGTGTATCATTTATTTGGGGGAAAATAATTTGATTTCCTAAATAAATTCTGACTTTAGATATTATGGTTTTATCCATCACACAAGTCTTGTTTCTCTCACAATGACATTAAAAAAATATATGTTTGGTCACTTGATTAGAGGTATAGTTGAGGAGGAGAGCAAATTATCCTCACTGGAAGGTTGTATGTGGAAAAAAAAAAGACTTGGTGGTTAAAGCATAAAAAAAAAGATAATGGAGAACAAGTGGGATGAGAAAAAAAAAAGATGAACATAGGCAGAAAAAAAAAACGAAAAGAAAAACGTTCCATGCACACTACAAAACAGGTGTGACTCTAGGACACAATCTGATCTATACGTGAAAACTGGTCTATGTATGAAAATTGCAAATTATGAGCAGTCCTGCTGCGTTTCCTAACACACACACAGCTCTCCCAGGGAGGATTTGCTGGTGGAGGCGGTGTTACTCCATCTGTAAAACTCTCATCCCTCTGCTGCAGTTGATCCTCGCCAGCCGTGTCCCCTCGGACGACTCAGGGGTTCCTGCAGCCTCTGGGATGGCCAAACGCAAGGGCTGTGCCCTGTAGAGACCCTGTGTTTTTCTCCGTCTTTGCAAAGGACTGGTTTTGATGAACTCAGAGAGCCCTCGCAGGGATCACACCTGTCCTGGGGAAGCCCTGACAGCAGGGGACCGTGGGTCCCGGCGGCCCTCTGTCCCGCAAAGGGCAGCACGATGGCTGCGTGTTCGAGGGGCAGTCCCTTCCCATGCGTGCATCTGGACTGGCGGCACCGAGCAAGCGACCTGCCCAAAACCCACAGCCTGGGGCAGGCCCCTGCCCGGGACTGCTTGCTTCGGGGCCAAAAGCAGGCTCTGGCTCTTGTTCTGTATTTCATCTCTCTCGCCTGATTATAATCACTTCCCGCCCCTTGCCTCCTCCCGTTCCTAATCATGTGTCTGACTGGATCCTGTCCGGATTCCGAGAAATGAAATCACCATTAGTTAGGAGGCGATCAAAAGTAGGCCCGGCAAGGACCCTTACAGGTGGCTCAGGGAACCAGCTGGGGCTCATTTCTCATCACGATTCAAGATGGGAGGAGGAGATAAAAGGAAACCAAAGGAAGTCCCTCTCTGTCAGCTCCTAAAGATGTTTTGCAATGGAACAGGGCTAGTAGCTACTCCCTTGCCTTTGTACACAGGTAGGTGCCTGTGTCCTGCTTCCTTGCACTGGCAGAGGTGAAAAAATTTGCTTAATGCATCACATGCCCTTATTTTTAAGTCTTCCAGGAGGTTTTCCAGGTTTTGTAATTCCCGGGCTGTAAGATCCGATAAGTTTTTTACTTCCTAAAAGTAAATAGTAATCTGGGGAGGGGGGAAGAGAAGCAGTTTATGCTCCCCAAGAAGACTCTAGGCCCTGACTTCAAATCCTTAAGATCTGTAAGGCTCTTTTACAGCTGCAGTGTTCGTTTCTTTTTGAATCTGACCCGGTGATTCCCACCTCTCCTTGGTGCATAGCAAAAAGAACCTTTCTTATTTTTTTAAGCTATCACTTTTAAAAGAAAAAAGGCTCAAGTGGCTGGGGAAAGAAACTTGAAAACGGTGAAGTGCTATTTCTCTGTGCCACTACAGAGCAGGACTGCCTGACTCAGCCTTGGGCTAGCCTCTGAGAGAAGTAGCCTGGCTTTCTTTGAGCCCCCTTCCCCGCAATACAGACATCGCTCTGTAGCGCCGTCCCCGCTGCGTCCCGTCTGGGCTCACTTGCCGGAAGGTGGAGGTCTTATCTGTTTGCAGTGATGGTTGCGATCTGCAATGCAGACGCACAAAGTCTCCGCATGCCCCGCGGCGGGCTGTGGGTCCATTCTTTCTGTTTGGGCGGGGACCGGTGAGGAGGCGGAGGTGGGGAGAAAGAGTGTTAAATGTGGGGGTGGGGGGGTCTGCCAAGCCCTGTCCAACTCACCAGGCGACTCTATTCAGGCCTTCTGGCCCCGAGGGAGAAACAAGGACCTTCCTCGCACCCCGTAGTAGGGAGGAATGTACTTGACACCCACCGTGGCACCAAGGGGCCAAGTTGGGAAGCGGGGCCTGGTGTCCCAGCCCTCCCCCAGTCCCTGAATACCCCTAAAGTCCCTCCCCACCAATCAACCAATTTTTAACATGACAATGGCCATGACAATACCTTCTAGCCAAGGCCAGGCTGGAGAGGACTTAAAGCATCGGCCCCCCCTCCCCTCAGCCCAATGGGGTACTTGACTGCGAGCTGCCTGCTTTCTCGACCGCCACACCGCCACATGCTCGGAGCTGGGGGTCCCGGCCCGGCCATGAGCGCCCACCTGGCCATGCCGTCCTGCCTGTCCTACTCACCTGTTCTGTATGGGGACTACTATTGGCTCTCTCCAGGGAACACGGACAGCATGCCCGCCGAGGAGGCTCCGGCGACGGACGCCCTACCTTTGCCCGCGACGGAGAAGACGTCCAGTCCCCCAGGTACGGCCCCGGCGGAGCGGATGGGCTGCCCTCGGCTGAGGGTAGTTGTGTCCCTCCTGCCCGCGGGATGGGGGGCGATGACGGTGCTGCGGGCGGCCCCCTGCCCCGGCGGGGATGCTCCGCCGGCGGCCCCGAGGGGAGCAGCGGCGGGAGCCGGGGGTGCTGCCGGCGGCCTCAGCGTGGCCCTCAGCGAGGGGTCTCGGTTCCCCTGGCTCAACGCTGCCTGTGCCCACAGCTGCGGAGCCCCTGTGAGTCCCCAGGGCATCCGCAACCTTAAATTCTCCCGAGAAGCTGGAGTTTAAAGTTTTTGAGTCTTTTCCCCCTGGTTCCTCTCACACTAGTTGTCTTCTCTCCTCAGATGACTCTCCAGCTTCTTCAAGCTCTGGGACACTCACCCAGTACTACACCCCTGACTCTGCCACCAGTCCCACCGCAGCAGCAAGCCCGTCTCCCCACTCCTCTTTGCAGAAGGTCAAAGCGCAAGGCAAAGGTGTGGTGAAGACGGGCAAGAGCCGCACAGCCTTCTCGCAGGAGCAGCTTAAAGCCCTACACCAGCGGTTCCAGAGCCAGAAGTACCTCAGCCCCCAGCAGATTCGGGAGTTGGCTACTACCCTTGAGCTCACCTACAAGCAGGTGAACATCTTGCCCTGAGTAGCTGAGTTGCATCCCTGGCATGAAGTGACCTTGAGAACAAGTGGTGGTGGTGGGGGGTTGGTGGTTTTCTCTTTTCTTAAACCTCAAAGATAAGTTTCTTTCGTGATCCTGTTTATGCTATTGCTTACGTGAGAGGAGAGGCTGGCAAAACTTATGACTCAGTCTTCCTCTTATGTTTGCTTCCAGCACTACCCTCCCACTCCATGCAGGTGTTTCAAAGGGCACGCAGAGCAGCAAAGCAGGGCGATGTGGAGTCAGGTTATTGTTCTGTATGGACGCTTGTTGTCTCTGAACGCAACAAGTCAAATACTTGCACTGCTATGCACGTTACCTTTCTTAGTCATAGTGGCACCCGGGCCTCTCCTTAAAGAAAGGGTCCTTGCCCCACCAGCTGCTTGTTTGACTGAAGGAATGACTCGGTTCTGAGCACTGATCTTGGCGCAGCAGTGGGATAATGCTGCTGTACAAGCTGTGTTTCTGTCTTGGCCTGTCTTTTGGGTAATGCTTTTGAAATCGTGGAAGATCCCGTGGTGATCTGAGGAGTAGAAGTGTTCGTTTTCATGATTCAGGTCTGTGATTTCGCAGCTACCTTGTCTGCTGCATGTTGTTAGCTGCTGAAATTATGTACCGTATTAGAAGCCAGGCAGAAGGAAAAACATCTTTGGGATGTGCAGTAAGCTTTGAGAATGAATTTCCAATTTCTTATGCCCTTTCCCTATCACTTTTAGGTGAAAACATGGTTTCAGAATCAACGGATGAAATTCAAACGTTGCCAAAAGGAGAGCCAGTGGGTGGAAAAAGGGCTGTATCTACCACAGGTGAGTAAATTTCCCCATCACCACCAGTCGTGGTTCCTCCAGTCTGTGGAGAGAAGTGCATCATGTCCAACCTGCTAATTCAAACAATGTACAGGATTCGATATTACCAATCCAGTTATCGTAATAGGTTTTACAGTGGCATCTATTTTAAGCTTGCCTTGGCACTGAAAGAGCTTTGTTTCCAGCCCACTTATCTCTCATTTGAGAGAGATAGAAATGAAACAGCCAAAGACATCTAGCAAAGCTATTTGCTGGTTTTCTCACCCACGTGGTGCTCCCAGACACATTGATCTGGAGATTACTGACAGTAGATCCTGCCACCTCTGCTATTACTGGTCTATAGGGAGGACAATGAGTATGAAAAAGGCGCTATTGTTTAGCTTACAGGAGGGGCAGGGAGCGAAAAAGGAGGACCTATCAATAAGAATGGGCAGTTGGTGTGGTGCTCTGCATTACTGAACAACCTTCTTTGTCTCTCCTAGAATGGGGCTCGTCAGGCTGCATACCTGGATATAATGCCCACATATCACCAGGGCTTCCCTGTCGGTGCCAGCAGAAACCTTCAGGCTATGACCAACACGCACCAGGCCTACAGCAGTGGACAGACTTATGGGAATGGGCAGAGCCTGTACTCATTCGTGGCTGTGGAGGATGAGGGGCTCTTTGGAAAAGGTGGGACAAGCTGCAATACCCAGCAAGCTGTGGGTTTATTAAGCCAGCCAATGAACTTCTGTCACAGCTACTCTGACAATGTGGATTATGTCAGCCTGGAGTCAGAAGACACCTACGACTTCCAGAGTACTTCTGACACTGTCACACCGTTTTTGAGCTCTCCTGTACAGCATCAATGCCAGGTCCCTTGGCATCCCATGGGGGCCCAGAGTGGTTATGAGTCTCAGGTTTAAGTATTTTTTGCTCCCTTGTCTTGTGTTTGCTCATGGGGTTTCCAGGGTCTCGACTCAGGAATATAGATTGTATTTCTTTGTCTTGTCCTACTGCTGTTTTAACCACCGGAGGAGGGGCTCAGCACCTTGCTGACTTGGGCTAGTTTTCTGATTAAAAGTGCTTGTCTGTTCAGAGCTTAACCCTTGGCAAAGGTGTTTTGCGTGTGGATAAAATGAAACCTCATTCATTAAAGTCAGTGTGCAATGCCACAGCTGCAGTGGTTATAAAGGTTTGTGTGTTGTTCAAGTCTCACCTTCCTGTGCTGCCTCTTTAGCAGGTGATCTCTGATCCTTACCCTGTGTATCTCGTATCAGAGCTTTCACTGCAAAGAAGGCAAACACTTGTTGCAGAATAATTTTTCATAAAGTTGTGGTTTTGTTAGGTTTTTTTGCAGTTATATCAAGTGTGTTCTATGTTATGTGCATGTTGTTTCTGCCTAATGTTCTTAATGTTCTCATGTTCCTGTTTAATGCTCTTAATGTTACAAATTTGTTTTAATTAAAAATAAATTACTTTATTTTAATGTTGAAATGGTGTCACCAGCTTGCATTGAAATAGCCTGCTATGAGAATAGTTATTCTACACAGGTTAGACCTGCAGTGAGTGAAGGAAAAAAAAAGTAACCTTACTGTGTTTCTCCCAGAAGTAGGATCAAACAAATGTTCTAAAAAAGTAATCACAGAAATCCACCAGCCTTGTTTTTAACATATGTGTGTTGCCTAGTGCAAGGTGGGAGGGGAGTTCCAGGGCTGGGCAACTGGACAAGCTGGCTTGAAGTAATGTGCAGCCCTGTAACATGCTTGTATTAGCCCTTAAACTGTAATGCTTTACAAGAGGTATTGAAGGATGAGGATAGAAGAAAAAGAAAATGTTTTTGAAATTGTGTGGTAACCTGCTGCTGCTCCAGAGGGTCACAATTACAGGTCTGGGATCCTGCTTCGTTGAGGCTGCAGCTCCCTTGGGGTCTTTGTGCTAACCTCAATTGGACAGAAGTCTCTGTGTAAGTAACTGAATTCTGCCACTGGAACAAAAACAGAACCAAGCTCCTATTAATAGCCATAGTCTAAACTAGCAGAAATTATGTGTTTTGGTTTAATCCCAGGTTCTTTAATGTACAGTACACCAATGAAGCCTTCATCTGTCTGAAACGGGCAGTTCAATGGGTACTCTCACCGAACACAATTAGTGGAAGTGGCAGCTGACAGCTCAAGCTGCTACAGGCCCTTTGCTGAACAGAACCTGCTTGTGTGGGTGCCAAAGCATATCCCCTTTCTTCTGCAACACTGTAATCCTCTACTTCCAAGGGTGAGTACAATAGGTACAGGAAGGAGAAACCAGAGGGTTGAGCCTATAGAGGAGGAAGAAAGGCTGAGTCATCCATGTGTGTGGGCTGCCAACCTTAAACAGTAGAAAAAGTTAAATTGCCTGGAAGAGGGGGAAATGCCAGGTTCACATGATTTTCTGTATCACAGAAAAGAAATCCTTTCTCATCCTGACTGGGCATTTATGTCCCAACATCAGTTTGTCTGAATTCTGAGTAATTCTCTAGCAGCAGTATTAATTTCAACAATTCCCTTAAAAAATAGAGCTGAACCATATACCTATAAAAGTCATAGATATTAAAGCCTTGTCTTTCAGCTTTAAAATTAGTAGCTTATGCATTAATTTTTTTAAGATGCAATCTTTAGTTCTACAGAAATACCCAAGGTATGCAGGTTTTTGCAGAATGATTGCAGAGGATGCTTACTGCAGCTTACCTGTGTTGCTTGGGTATGTTTTATTTTCATGTTTCTGCTCCAAGGGTAAGGAGATAGCCTTGCTGGCAGATGTCCTTCTGCAGAAACAGATATTGTTGCAAAACCAGCCCTGGGGCTGAGATAGATTGCTCTGCATGCTATGGTCTGTGTTACTGCATTTACCATGGAGTGCTCCCTCACTGGTCTGTTAATCCCCTGGTTGATCAGCCTGGGTTGCATGCAGGTTTGGTAAGCATATATAGCTGTAGGGAACATGGGGAGCAGCTGTTGTTGGAATTTTGGCAGGTGGGCTGGAAAGGACTGCTACTAGCTCAGGAAGTGTTTCTAGAGGCTGTGGAATTACGTAGAACTCTGCCTTTCTGCGGTGCTGGCAACCTCTTGTTATCTTGAAGTGCCTGAATCCCACATGTGAAACAACTGCACAGGTAATTGGGCATTACTACCAAAACTGGTGGAGATGCAACTACTCCCTCCAGATTCATACTTGCCAAAAAAAAGTTTGTATCAGTTCCTCAGAGGAAGTAAGTGCATGCCAGGAAAAGCTCTTTCTGCTAGGATACCTTAGATCTCTGTTAAGACTATTGCTTCTCATGACTGTTCTGTGTAACAGTGACTTCTGCACACTGAAAACATGATGTGCCTTGCCAGCAAATCTTTTTAGGATCAAGCTGTAAGATCATTTGAAGTTTTTTATTTATATTAAGCTTGTGAGAATGCACTGTATTGCTTTCACAGTATCTCTGCAGTGTCAACACTCCTGTTTGTCAATGCTGCAGATGTAGTTCCAGTCATACAGAGAATCACACCCAAACAGAAGAAAGTAGATCTAGTACATGTTATGTAGACTAGAGTTTATTCTCTAGTTTACTGGGTTCCAGCCTTTGCTGTCCCATAGGCAAAACACCAAGCAAGTAGAGCAGTGCAAGCAACCACATTCCTTGCTCTCTGTGTCAGCATGGCCTGTACAGATGTTTTACAAGCTCCATGTTTCTTCTGAGTGGTCCATGAGCAAGGGCTCACAGCCCTGGCTGTCTCCCCAGTGCAGATAAAGGTCATGATCTTTGCTTTAACAGGCTCTTCCCTACAGGCGTATATAAACATATTTAGTTATCTAAGTACACTATGTGACAAATGCTGAGCTAACAGGGTTTTGGAAATTTTCAGTACAGTGTTGCCACATCTCTTGCTTGGCCCATCATCAGAGGGCAGCAGCATATTAGCTGATACTGAATAGTCATGAGGCAGGAAGGACCCAAAATCATGACACTGCTCTTGGACATTTAAAAAAAAAAATTAAAAAAAAAATTATTTTTTCTGAGGGGGGCCATGTTATCTTTGTGGTGTCCAAAGTTTTGAAGAGCACCCTCAGGTCATATCTGTGAATCTCTTTCATAACCAGGCTAGAATTAATTTCTTCCATTTGATGGAAGTCCATCTGCTCACAGACAGGATGTGTCTCTCGCACTGGGCTGTGTTCAAACCATTAAATCTTTTACAAATTACAACATTGGGAATTCTTCATTGGGTGAGCCCTGAGATCCATCCAAGTGATTGTTTAGATATTAGGGAAGGACCAGAAAAGAAACTAAAGTCCCTAGTGTCCCTCTGGCTGGCTGAGGCTGAAGGACTGCGTCTAACAGAAGCTGCATTCCTGCTGCTTTTACACAGGACATCGGGAATGAAGCTACTGACACAGCAGACATCAATAGGTTCCCTTCCTGTAAGTTGCTTATTTGCCTCTTGGAATTGCTGCAGGCTCTTGGTCTCCAGAACCACCTCTAGCAATAAGGTCTGTCTCTGAATGATGGCCTCTGAGAAATTCTGTGTGTCTCTGCGGAAACTGCAATATTTGGTAGTGTTTGTTTGCACTACTTTGTGAAGGTCAATAGCAGGGAGATCACAACCGTTGCTCTTACAGACAGCATCTTTCTTCAAGTCAGTCCCAGAGACTTAACAGCAAGATCCTGCCTGTCCTAAAGCATCTCTGAAGGAGTACGTATCTCCTTTTCCAGAGAATTATTAGTGAGGAGCAGTCACAGGCTCAACTATTTCACCTACATCTGCCTTTGATGGGGTGGCATGGAAAGGTTTCAGATGATATTCAAGTGAGTAAACAGCATTGTTGGCTCCAGAAGGACTGAAAAAAAATCCTTACACTGGTGAGAGAGCCCTGATAATTGTTGCTATTGTAGTCCATCTTCAGATGTTAACCAGCACCTTTTCAGTTAATTTAAGTGTCCCCACCCCTCTGATTGTTGCAAGTGCACGTCTTTCCCAACCTTAGCCACTTGCTGGCTGTAGGGGGTGGGGCGGGGTTCTGTGCCAAAATTATATGACTTGGAAATTCACCATCCCAAAGGCCTTATTTTTACCCAAATCATGCTGGCCATATATTGTGGTTTAATGCCAGGCAGCAACTAACCACCACACAGCCACTCACTCACTCTCTGCTACTGGGACAGGGGAGAGAATTGGAAGAGTAAAAGAGAGAAAGCTCATGGGCTGAGACAAAAACAATTTAATAGGTAAAGCAAAAGACACACACACACACATACAAAGCAAAACAATGAATTAATTCGCCACTTCCCAAGGGTAGGCAGGGGTTCAGCCACCTCTGGAACATCAGGGCCCCATCAGGCGTAATGGTTACTTAGAAAAACGGCATAACTAAAACGTCCCCCTCTTCTTATTCTTATTCTATACACTGAGCACAATGTCATATGGTCTGGAATATCCCTTGGGTCAGTTGGAGATCAGCAGTTTCAGCTGTGTCTCCTCCTAACTCCTTGTGCACCCCCAACCTTCTCACTGTCAGGGAGATAAGGAGAAGCAGAAAAGGCCTCGACACTGTGTGAGCACTGCTCAGCACTAATGAAAACATCTCTGTATTATCAACCCTGTTTTCAGCACTATCCTAGCTACTGTGAAGAAAATTAACTCTCTCAGCTAAAACCAGCACACTGCACAGTTTACAATAAGGTCAAAGAGCGTCTGCATGAGGGAGTGGGAATAAACAGCTGGGAGGCACAGAGACATAAATCAGCTTTGCCAATAGAAGATCATGCTTATTACTCCAGTCACAGAAATCATTGCCTTCATTTATGCTCATTTTTTTTAACCATGACAGTTACTTCATTGCATTAAGTGAAAGTCATTGTCATCATCAAGAAGTGATAGAAAACCTGTGCCTCACGGAACTTGAG